GGAACGTTTGCATACATTTTATATGCAAGAATTTAATATTCTTTACGCCTATATTTCTTAGCATATATAATTAAGGTTAAGAGAGAAATACTAGCTGGAATTTAATAAAAAGACTAATAAGCTATAAAGGCTAATTTACTCTATAGAAGGAAACAGCTATAAGAGTTATTTTAAGCTACTAAAGCTACTATATTTACTTAATTCAGCAGCCCTACTATAGAATTTACCTATAAATAACTCTCCTTCCTTCTAACTAGATCGAGAGGAAATTAAGCCTCTACAACTATACTCTTTAATACATACTATTATATATAATTTTATACTATATCTAAAGTTACTTTTATTATACCTTAAGAATCCCTATTATCTTATGCTTAGTAATTAACTAGATAAGCTACTATATTTGCCTAATCTAGCAGCTCTACTATAGAATTTACCTTTAAATAACTCTTCTTCCCTCTAACTAGATAAAGAGGAAATTAAGCCTCTACAACTACACTCTTTAATACATACTATTATATATAATTTTATACTATATTTAAAGTTACTTTTATTATACCTTAAGAATCCCTATTATTTTACGCTTAGTAATTAACTAGATTACATAAGCTATATCTATTATTTATTATATTATAAAGGGTCCCTTAATTAGCTGATATTAAGTTTACTATTTTAAAGTAAAGCTAAAAGCTATATAAGTTTAAGTAGTATATAGCTAAAAAACTAGGCTTATCTCTCTAGCTATTATATTTTATTATTTTTTATATTAATAGTATAAAGAGTTTTATACTAAGTACTTTACTATTTCTTAGTAGTAATTTAGCTTTATATTAAGTTAGCTTTAAGATAGTATTTCTAGTTAGCTATTATTTATTTATAGCACTATATTTATTTTACTTTTTTTATATTTAATACTATTTTTATTATATATTAGCTTTACTACTATTTTTAGTAAGAAAGCTTTAGTACTTTCTTTAATATAACTATATTTACTATCTTCTAAAGTTATTATACTAGTTAATTTATATCTTTATTAATATTAACTTAAGTATAAAGTAGCTATATTACTACTTTACTTTAAAACTATACTTTAGCCTTTACTTTAGCTAATTTTTTATTTAGCTTTTTTTATAAGTACTTTATAAATACTAAAGACTTATTATTTAGTTTAATATTAACTTAAATTAGCTATAAAATATAGTTAAATCTAGCTAGATTTATAGCTTCTTAGTATATAACTTTAAAGCTTTATAAAGCTTAAGCTAAGTAAATAGTACTATTTTTATCTTTATATTTTTACTTTATAAGTTCTCTTTTTAGTATTACTAAGCTAAGCTATTATTAAGCTATTATTACTAATAGTTCTTTATAGCTTTAGCTAGTTCTCTCTAGCTTATTTTAAAGTAAGTACTTGTAATAAACTTAAGCTGTAGGCTTAAGTAGGTACAAGACACTATGCTAGTGCCTTATTAGGTACGCTTTAGATGTATATTAGACCTATATATATATAATAGAAGGAAAAGGGGGGATAGAGAGCTTCTTCTTTCCCTCTTTTCTCTCCTTAAGTTTATAGTTAATACTAGTAATACTTATATATAGTAGCCTATAAAGCTAGTTCTTAATATACTATAAACTTTATTTTACTATAATAAATAAATACTTTTTAAACTCTATAGAGAGTAACCTACTATTAGCTAGTAATATAATACTACTAAGCACTTAGGCTAAGGTAGCTGCTCTCTAGGAAACTATTAATAACTAGGCACAACTAATTTACAACTTAATACAGCAGTATATTGTATTCTCTAAATTAGCACCTACTATACTAGACAATCTCTTACACTCTCTTTATCTAGGTATATAATTAATACTACTATATAAGCTAAAATAAAAGCTAATTAAAATAGAGCTTCTCTTTAAGGGAGATAAGTCTATATTTACTATATAGTAAAGCTCCTGGCCTCTTCCAAACTTTTGATGGCACCGTCGTTAATTTCCCCGGCCTTTGCCTTATTCTGCGACTCTTCGTAGCTAGATTTTAGCTTTTCTGCTAGTCTTCCTGGAGAGTTGAGCGAATGGACGGGGGAGCTGCCAGACTTGGAAGGGGACAACAGAGAGTTGGCGGCGACAGAGGCGGAGGAACCTTGCGCTTTCAGCGCAGGCGCAGGCGCAGCGGCTTCTTGATCTTCATCTTCATCGTCGTCATCATAGTCATCTTCATCAATGGCACGTTTGGCCTTTTTGTAGGGCGGTTCTTTGATGGGTTCGTGATCGGTGGTGGGGGGGAGCGTCACGGTAGGGGTAGGGGCACATCGCTTCAGCCCTGCAATCGCGTCGAGGTTATAAGAACCATCCTCGGCAAACAACAAGGCAATTTTGTCCTCGGTCTTGCGATACAAGTCGGCAAAAAGAGCGCGACGGGCTTCTTCTTCGATATCGACGGATGCCTCAGGCACCAACTCTGCCGTATTATTGTCGACGGGGGTCTGGGTACGCGCCGTTCCATCATCGAGAGGATTCAAAGACCTGGTACTGTTTGTATGGTGCAGAAGGGGAGATGGCCAAGCTGGCTGGCCGTTGGAAATGGACATGCTGGGCCCGTGGCGATGAAAGCGACAAGTTGGCGCGGTGTCGCCATGCGCGGTAGGATGCGCTCGCGTAGGGCCGAACTGGAAGGGATTGGAGCGGTTATAGCGGCATGGATCGAAAGAGCGGCATCGGTATAGATGGAGGATGGAATTTCGCGACAATCGAGATGGCGGCGGCGATGCTTTGATGGATCGCAACGGGTGCGATTTGTCTGCGGATCAAGAGGTGAGGTTGAGGATTCGGGGAGAGCGTAGTACCACACCCTTTCCCGAAGCGGGACTTTCTCCCAGGCTCACTACTTACTTTACGGTCTACCAAGCCTAGCACCGAGCGCTGCGCTGGGCACTTGAGCGCTCGGCGGCCACAAGCACGCACTAAAGGTGAACTGGTACTAGCCGGTCGCCCTGTCCGCGCCGCAAGTACCAAGGGCCGTCCCGCCGGCGGCAGCAGCATCGACGGAATCGCACATGCAAAGGAATTTAGACGAAATGGAACGACACGACAGAATGCACAAAAGGCCCAAATTTCACGCCTTCTACGATGCTGATGCGCCAGTTGCCAGGTTGTGCACATGTTGGACAAGCAAGTCCAGGTGCCCCGAACTGGTCAATCTCAGGTACCTTTCCCCCCCACTTTCGGTGTTTCCCCACGGCACGTACGAACGCGGGCGCCCGAAGCAAGGGAACGACGTCTCTTGATGCGCATCACGTGATGCCACGCAGGACCATCACCGCGAGCTCAGGCAGAGGCACCGAACTACGTATTGGCTGTCATTAGGCGACCTGTCCAATAGTGGAGTGTAAAGATGACAAGCTGCCATAGCGTGCCATGAATTCCAAAGGTGATTGAATGAATTGTCGGGCAAGCCTCGCTACGTCAACTTCAGGCATGGTCAAAGACGGCGTATGTGAGTGCAGAACGCAGGCAACCAGGGTCCAGAGCACAGCAACTCTACAAGTACGGAGTAGACCCGTGAGGAAAAGAAGAAGGAGAAAAAGAAAAAGGAAACAAAGCAGCCAAGCTTAATCGAGCTTAATAATCCTGCGGGCGCGCATAAATGTCAAGTCATGGGCCGCAATCAACTGAGTGGAACTAGGATGCTGCCCAGCGCCTGCCGATGCTGAGCCCGAGCCCGCTGGAATGCGCTGAGGCTCAACCTCGAAGGGGCCTGGCTCCACTCTGGCTCGTCCTACTTCCATCATCCCACACCCCAAAAACCATCTGGCTTGACTTCAACGTTACCAGCCTCAATTCAGAATTTTGGAATCTTCACTGTGCCTGTGTTTCCCGATCGAGCGCTATCATCCCAAGCTTTACGAAGGCCCGCGTCAACTTGCGCCTTGTACCCGCGACGCCTTGGCCGTTTCCGTATATTGCGCAAGCTGGCCTTGTTCCCTTCATATACCACACTGCCTGCGGTCGCTTGATTTACGCTCTGGTCAGCCTCGTTTGACGCATCTAGCGCCATGCGGATACGTCTGCCTTTTGCAGGTAGTCCCTCGCAAAACTTCACTGATCCCTAGGACGATCAGGCACAAACTTGTTAACATGCGTGCTCCTTCTAGGTGTCTTCCTGTTCCTTTTATTGATATCAGGGTATGCCGGCCTCAGCAAGCTCCAGCTCGGACACTTTGTCAACGACAAAGTCTTGCACGCCGGGACCTTCTTCCTGCTTACCGTTGTATTCTACTGGATTGTCGACACCAATCGCCGCCGAACCCTAAACACGACGTTGGTTGTTTGCACTCTATGCCTCGGCGTAGGATCAGAGTTTCTGCAGAGCTTCCTTCCCAATGATCGCGACTTTGACCTCTTCGATATCGTGGCGAACATGGTTGGCAGCTTGGCTGGTTTGGGGTTGTGCTCGTGGTACCACAAGCGCATGTTGGAGCGTAAGAGGCAGAGAAAATCGTACAATCCCGTTCCAGGAGAGGATGTCGAAGACGTGGAATTGGGCGAGGGCCACGAGAGTGGCATTGTCGATGCTGGCCCGTCTAGAGTACGGACATTGGAGGAAGAGGTGGATAACTGGGATGAAAATGCTCCGGATGACTGGGCCGAGGGAGATGTGCCGGAGACGCTAGCCCCGTCTGCCGTCAAGAGTAAAGAACCTGACACGATTGACACGGACATTGGCGATGCAAAGAAGCGAACGGACTAGTTTCTCGTATCTGGGCGTTCAATGAAACGAGGATCTACTTTCTGGTATGGATGTGGGTAGGAAAATGCTACCGCGAGGCTTGGCGTTAAATGCATGGGATAAGGTTTCAGTCAGCGAGTTCTGATAATGTGTGTACGAATCAACACAACTTAACTTTTTTGGAGCCTTTCAACTCCATTGCTTCCCCCCCCCCCCCCCCTTTTTTTTTTTTTTGT